CAATGTGTCTTCGGACGACGCCGGACGACGACGCCAGACGACGACGACAACGACGACGACGACGACGCCAACGTCATACCATAAAAAAAACTGAATCATGATTTCCTGTTGATATGCAGATCTACATAGTATGTTCAAATATACTACAAAATTTTATGAAACTCTGTTGTGTGGATTCAGAGGCGTTGTGATGACAACCTATTGCAGTAGTATATCAAGGCCAAAATTCTAAGTTCAAAGGGGCATAACTCCTAGAAAATAAACGTGGATAGTGTCCACATGTGAACACAGATGATGCCCCGCTTGCATATCATATAGTTATAAAGGGACATAACTGAAGAACGGTAAAAGTGACGCTACCCAAATTTGAACTTGATCTGAGATTTGTGGTAATAAGCACTGTGTGTAAGTCTCATAACATTTGATTGAGGCTAACTTAAGTAGAGAACAGAAACTAAAAATTCAGCAATTTTTCTATTTGTAAACACGCAAAACTCTAGAACGGTTGTGTATAAGTTTTATAACATTTGGTTGAGACAAACTAAAGTCAGAGGACGGAAACGAAAAATTCAGCAATTTTTATGTTTATAAAGGGACATAACTCAAGAATGGTACAAGTGTTGCCAGCAAATTTCGTATAGTAATAAGCATTGTGTATAAGTTTCATAACATTTGGTTGAGGCAAACTAAAGTTAGAAAACGGAAAAAAAAATTTGTACTTGATCTTAGTTTTGTGGTAATGAATATTGTCTATAGGTTTCATAATGTTTGGTTGGGCCAAACTTAAGTTACAGAATGGAAACTAAAAATTTTGCAATCTTTCGATTTATAAAGGGCATAACTCAATAATGGTTAAAGTGACACTACCCAAATTCAACTTGATCTGTGTTTTATCGGTGGAAGTCAAAATTAAACATTGCATTGTATAAAGCATTGATTGTAGTTGATTTAACTATAATCATGAACAAAGGAAGATAACTCCAATTTTAATAAAATGCTCTGCTGGGCGCAGCTTGATACGACTGCAGAGGTCGAACCCTGAACAGTTGGGGCAAGTATGGACACAACATTCAAGTTTGATACAGCTCTGAATTTGGATTGTGATTAAATATTTGACACAGCATAGGTTTCTGACACAGAATGAATGTGGTCTAAGAACTTAAATTTTTTTAATTTACCTATTATGGTCCAATATCCAAAATCTAAATACATGGTTAGATTCAGCATATCAAAGAATCCAAAGAATTCAATTTTTGATGAAATCAAACAAAGTTTAATTGTGGACCCTTTTGACCTTAATGTGGACCAATTTGATAATGGGGACCAAAAATCAAAATACATGGTTAGATTCAGCATATCAAAGAACCCCGTATATTCAATTTTTGTTGAAATCAAACAAACTTTAATTTTGGAACCCAACTTGGACCAACTTGAAAACTGGGCCCATAATCAAAAATCTAAACACAAGTTTAGATTCAGCATATCAAAGAACCCCAAGAATTCAATTTTTGTTAAAATCAAACTAAGCTTAATTTTGGACCCTTTGGACCTTAATGTAGACCAATTTAAAAAAACGGGACCCAAAATTAAAAATCTAAATACACGGTTAGATTTGGCATATCAAAGAACCCCAAGAATTCAATTTTTGATGAAATAAAACAAAGTTTAATTTTGGACCCATTTGACCTCAATATGAACCAATTTGATAGCGGGGCCCACAAATAAAAAATCTAAATACATGGTTAGATTCAGCATATCAAAGAACCCCATATATTCAATTTTTGTTGAAATCAAACAAAGTTTAATTTTGGACCCCAATTTGGACCAACTTGAAAACTGGGCCCAAAATCAAAATTTTAATACATGTTTAGATTCAGCATATCAAAGAACCCCATATATTTAATTTTTGTTAAAATCAAACTAAGTTTAATTTTGAACGCTTTGGACCTTAATGTAGACCAATTTGAAAACTGGACCCAAAATTAAAAATCTAAATACAGGGTCAGATTTGGCATAACAAATAAATAAATGTGGTCAAAGATTTTAGAAATCTAATGTGCCATACTGTGCAATTAAAGATTACTTCTTGTAATTTTTCAATATTTGAAATTTGAAAAAAAATAATATTTGAAGAATAATTCTTTTTAATTTCTGAAATCTGAAATGAGAAAAAATTGACCCCCCCCCCCCCAATTTCTTTTTACCCTCCCCCCCCCTTTTTCCACCAAAAAATTCTTTCCCTCAAGGAATAATCTCAATTCCAATTTCCAATGGAATTTGCAACCATAATTACCCATTTAAATTTACCATAGTGCTAACTTCATCTATTGTATAATAGAATTTAAAATATGGTATCAAATCTTTCATATGGATTTTTTTGTAAAAAAAAAAAAGATTCCCTTTGTGGTATGGTACCTTGCAGTACAATTTCAGAGAGATCCATACACTTGAACACAAGTTATTGTCTAGAAACTAGAAAAAATGCTTATTTTTGGTTCCTTTTGGGCCCCTTTTTCCTAAACAGTTTGGGCAATTACCCCCAAACTCTATTCCAGCTTTCCCTTTGTGATATGGAACCTTGTAGTACAATTTCAGAAAGATCTATACCCTTACACACAAGCTATTGTCGTGAAAGTAGAAAAATACTTGTTTTTTTCCCCTTTTTTGGCCCCTAATTCCCAAAATTTTGAGGCAATCACCCCCTAAATCAATCCCAGCATTCCCTATGTGAGATGGAACCCTGTGGTACAATGTCAGAGGGATCCATAAACTAACACACAAGTTATGTCTGGAAGTTACAATAAAATGCTTCGCTGGGGCGCAGCTTGATACGACCGCAGAGGTCGAATCCTGAACAGTTGGGGCAAATATGGACACAACATTCAAGCTTGATACAGCTCTGAATTTGGATTGTTATTAAATATTTGACACAGCATAGGTTTCTGACACAGAAAGAATGTGGTCTAAGAACTTGAATTTTTTAAATTTACCTATTATGGTTCAATGTCCAAAATCAAAATACATGGTTAGATTCAGCATATCAAAGAACCCCATATATTCATTTTTGTTAAAATCAAACAAAGTTTAATTTTGGACCCCAACTTGGACAAACTTGAAAACTGGGCCCATAATCAAAAATCTAAACACATGTTTAGATTCAGCATATCAAAGAACCCCAAGAATTCAATTTTTGCTAAAATCAAACTAAGTTTAATTTTGGACCCTTTGGACCTTAATGTAGACCAATTTAAAAAACGGGACTTAAAATTAAAAATCTAAATACACAGTTAGATTTGGAATATCAAAGAACCCCAATAATTCAATTTTTGATGAAATCAAACAAAGTTTAATTTTGGACCCTTTTGACCTCAATATGAACCAATTTGATAGCGGGGCCCACAAATAAAAAATCTAAATTCATGGTTAGATTCAGCATATCAAAGAACCCCATATATTCAATTTTTGTTGAAATCAAAAAAAGTTTAATTTTGGACCCCAACTTGAACCAACTTGAAAACTGGGCCCATAATCAAAAATCTAAACACATGTTTAGATTCAGCATATCAAAGAACCCCAAGAATTCAATTTTTGTTAAAATCAAACTAAGTTTAATTTTGGACCCTTTGGACCTCAATGAAGACCAATTTAAAAAACGGGACCCAAATTAAAAATCTAAAAACACGGTTAGATTTGGCATATCAAAGAACCCCAATAATTCAATTTTTGATGAAATCAAACAAAGTTTAATTTTGGACCCTTTTGACCTCAATATGAACCAATTTGAAAGCGGGGCCTACAAATAGAAAATCTAAATATATGGTTAGATTCAGCATATCAAAGAACCTCATATATTCAATTTTTGTTGAAATCAAACAAAGTTTAATTTTGGACCCCAATTTGGACCAACTTGAAAACTGGGCCCATAATCAAAAATCTAAATACATGTTTAAATTCAGCATATCAAAGAACCCCACATATTCAATTTTTGTTGAAATCAAACAAAGTTTAAATACTGGACCCTATCTTGGACCAACTTGAAAACTGGGCCCATAATCAAAAATCTAAACACATGTTTAGATTCAGCATATCAAAGAACCCCAAGAATTCAATTTTTGTTAAAATCAAACTAAGTTTAATTTTGGACCCTTTGGACCTCAATGAAGACCAATTTAAAAAACGGGACCCAAATTAAAAATCTAAAAACACGGTTAGATTTGGCATATCAAAAAACCCCAATAATTCAATTTTTGATGAAATCAAACAAAGTTTAATTTTGGACCCTTTTGACCTCAATATGAACCAATTTGAAAGCGGGGCCTACAAATAGAAAATCTAAATATATGGTTAGATTCAGCATATCAAAGAACCTCATATATTCAATTTTTGTTGAAATCAAACAAAGTTTAATTTTGGACCCCAATTTGGACCAACTTGAAAACTGGGCCCATAATCAAAAATCTAAATACATGTTTAAATTCAGCATATCAAAGAACCCCACATATTCAATTTTTGTTGAAATCAAACAAAGTTTAAATACTGGACCCTATCTTGGACCAACTTGAAAACTGGGCCCATAATCAAAAATCTAAACACATGTTTAGATTCAGCATATCAAAGAACCCCAAGAATTCAATTTTTGTTGAAATCAAACTAAGTTTCATTTTGGACCCTTTGGACCTTAATGTAGACCAATTTAAAAAACAGGACCCAAAATTAAAAATCTAAATACACGGTTAGATTTGGAATATCAAAGAACCCCAATAATTCAATTTTTGATGAAATCAAACAAAGTTTAATTTTGGACCCTTTTGACCTCAATATGAACCAATTTGATAACGGGGTTCACAAATAAAAAATCTAAATACATGGTTAGATTCAGCATATCAAAGAACCCCATATATTCAATTTTTGTTGAAATCAAACAAAGTTTAATTTTGGACCCCAATTTGGACCAACTTGAAAACTGGGCCAAAAATCAAAAATCTAAATACATGTTTAGATTCAGCATATCAAAGAACCTCATATATTCAATTTTTGCTAAAATCAAACAAAGTTTAATTTTGGACCCTTTGGACCTTAATGTAGACCAATTTGAAAACTGGACCCAAAATTAAAAATCTAAATACACTGTTAGATTCGGCATAACAAATAAATAAATGTGATCAAAGATTTTACAAATCTAATGCGCCATACTGTGCAATTAAAGACTTCTTGAAATTTTTCAATATTTGAAATTTGAATAAAAAATAATTTTTGAAGAATAATTCTTTTTAATTTCTGAAATCTGAAATGAGAAAAAATTGACCCCCCACAATTTCTTTTTATCTCCCCCCCCCCCCTTTTTCCCCCAAAAAATTCTTTCCCTCAAGATATGGTCATAATCTCAATTCAAATTTCCAATGGAGTTGGCAACCATAATTACCCATTTAAATTTACCATAGTGCTAACTTAATCTATTTTATAATAGAATTAAAAATATAGTGTCAAATCTTTCATATGGATTTTTTTGTAAAAAAAAAAGATGCAACATTTGCAGATATTTTTACTGGTCTTCCTTTATAAATATGCATTTCTTTAAACATAATTTATAAGCAGTGTAAGGGAAGTAACCAAAACGTTGTATTTGGATTACCTCCCTTACACTGTTTTAAATTATCTTTATTGTTCATTAACCATTACTTTATACATAATTTAAAAGCAGTGTAAGGGAGATAATTTCAATGATGTATTTGATTTATCTCCCTTACACTGCTTTAAATTATGTTTTGTACTAAAGTATTTGTCCATTAACCAGGATAACCCTGTTTTTCCCCCTTTTTTGCCCCTAATTCCTAAACGGTTTGAGCCATAACCCCCCCAAGGCAAATCCTAACAATCCCTTTGTGGTATGGAAACTTGTAGTATAATTTCAGAGAGATCCATACATCGTTCCACAGTTATTGTCTGGAAACTAGAAAATGCTTATTTTTGGCCCCTTTTTGGCCCCTTATTCCTTAACTGTTGGTACCATAACCCCCAAAATCAATCCCAACCTTCCTTTTGTAGTATTGAACCTTATGGTAAAATTTCATAAAGATCCATTCACTTAAACTAAAGTTAGAGTGCAAAAACCAATGTGTCTTCAGAAGACGACGACGCCGGACGACAACGACAATGACGACGACGTCTTACCTATATAGGACCACAAAATATAAACAACTTAAAATGGAAAATTTAAAAGAAAAAAACCTAGAGGCTCTGAAGAGCCTGTGTTGCTCACCTGACTCTACTTTGGTTTTAGAAATCATATAAAGATAGATAATAAAATGCTCCGCTGGGGCGCAGCTTGATACGACCGCAGAGGTTGAACCCTGAACAGTTGGGGCAAGTATGGACACAACATTCAAGCTTGACACAGCACTGAATTTGGATTGTAATTAAATATTTGACACACCATAGGTTTCTGACACAGAATGAAAGAACTTAAAAAATTTTAATTTACCTATTCAAACCATATCATTATTATTTGCTTTTATATATAAATCAGAAATCAGAAATAACCATTTTAAAATGGAAAATTTTAAAGAAAAAAAAGGAAAAAAAAATCCCCCCCCCCAAATTTTTTGAACCCCCTTATGATTCATCACCCCCAAACTCAATCCCAGCCTTCCCTTTGTGGTATGGTACCTTGCAGTACAATTTCAGAGAGATCCATACACTTGAACACAAGTTATTGTCTGGAAACTAAAAAAATGCTTGTTTTTTGGCCCCTTTTTAGCCCCAAATTCCTAAACATTTAGGGCAATTACCCCCAAACTCAAACCCAGCTTTCCCTTTGTGATATGGAACCTTGCAGTACAATTTCATTAAGATCCATACACTTACACACAAGTTATTGTCCTGAAACTAGAAAAATGCTTGTTTTTTTGCCCTTTAATGGCCCCCAATTCCTAAAATTTTGAGGGAATTACCCCCAAAATCAATCCCAGCCTTCCCTTTGTGGTATGGTACCTTGCAGTACAATTTCAGAGAGATCCATAAACTTGAACATAAGTTATTGTCTGGAAACTAGAAAAATGCTTATTTTTTGCCCCTTTTTGGCCCCTTATTCCTTAACGTTTTGGGCAATTACCACCAAAATCAATCCCAGCATTCTCTTTGTGATATGGAACCTTGTGATACAATGTCAGAGAGATCCATACACACAAGTTATTGTCATGAAACTACAAAAATGCTTGTTTTTTGCCCCCCTTTTTGGCCCCTAATTCCTAAAATTTGGAGGCAATTACACACAAGTTATGTCTGGAAGTTACAAAAATGCTTATTAAGGCCCCTAATTCCTTAACTGTTGGTACCATAACCCCCAAAATCAATCCCCACCTTCCTTTTGTGGTATTGAACCTTATGGTAAAATTTCATTGAGATCCATTCACTTAAACTAAAGTTAGAGTGCGAAAACTAATGTGTCTTCGGACGACTTCATACCATTATACGACCACAAAATTTTTTTTGCGGCTGTATAAAAATCATAACAGATACCCAAATAATGATTGAGGCCAAATTTGGTTTAATATTGGTCCGCGTTATTTAATAATATTTCTTGGTGGCCATCTTGAACAGTAAATCGGCAACAAAGAAGCCTATAGGGTCCTATGTTAAACTAAGTCCCCCCTGGAGGCCATCTTGGATGATGGATCGGCTGCAATGTAACAACACTTGGTCAGCACTTCATAAGGAACATTCATGCCATGTTTGGTTTCATTCCAATCAGTGGTTCTCTAAAAGAAGACATTTGTATGTATTTCCCATAGGGTCCTATGTTAAATTAAGTCCCCCCTGGCGGCCATCTTGGATGATGGATCGGCTGCAATGTAACAACACTTGGTCAGCACCTCATAAGGAACATTCATGCCATGTTTGGTTTCATTCCATTCAGTGGTTCTCTAAAAGAAGACATTTGTATGTAATTCCCAAAGGGTCCTATGTTAAACTAAGTTCCCCCCCCTTGGCGGCCATCTTGGATGATGGACCGACTGTCAAGTAACAACACTAGGTCAGCACCTCATAAGGAACATTCATGCCATGTCTGGTTCTATTCCATTCACTGGTTCTCTAAAAGAAGACATTTGTATGTATTTCCCATAGGGTCCTATGTTAAACTAAGTCCCCCGCTGGCGGCCATCTTGTATGATGGACCAACTGCAAAGTAACAACACTTGGTCAGCACCTCATAAGGAACACTCATGCCATGTTTGGTTCCATTCCATTCAGTGGTTCTCTAAAAGAAGACATTTGTATGTATTTCCGATAGGGTCCTATGTTAAACTAAGTCCCCTGCTGGCGGCCATCTTGGATGATGGATTGGCTACAAAGTAATAACACTTGGTCAGCACCTCATAAGGAACATTCATGCCATGTTTGGTTTTATTCCATTCAGTGGTTCTCTAGAAGAAGTTCAAAATGTAAAAAGTTAACAACGATGACGGACGACGACAATGACGACGGACGCCAAGTGATGAGAAAAGCTCACTTGGTCCTTTGGGCCAGGTGAGCTAAAAAGATAAAAAAGGAAAAAAAAATCCCCCCCAAATTTTTTGAACCCCCTTATGATTCATCACCCCCAAACTCAATCACAGCCTTCCCTTTGTGGTATGGTACCCTGTGGTACAATTTCAGAGCGATCCATACACTTGAACACAAGTTATTGTCTGGAAACTGTAAAAATGCTTGTTTTTTGGCCCATTTTTGGCCCCTTATTCCTAAACGTTTAGGGCAATTACCCACAAACTCAAACCAAGCTTTCCCTTTGTGATATGGAACCTTGTAGTACAATTTCATAAAGATTCATACACTTACACACAAGTTATTGTCCTGAAACTAGAAAAAGGGTTGTTTTTTGCCCCTTTTTGGCACCTAATCCCTAATATTTTGAGGCAATTACCCCCAAAATCAATCCCAGCCTTCCCTTTGTGGTATGGTACCTTGCAGTACAATTTCAGAGAGGTTCCATACACTTGAACACAAGCTTTTGTCATGAAACTAGAAAAATGCTTGTTTTTGCCCCTTTTTTGGCCCCTAATTCCTAAACGTTTTGAGGCAATTACCCCCAAAATCAATCCCAGCATTCCCTTTGTGATATGGAACCTTGTGGTACAATGTCAGAGAGATCCATACACTAACACACAAGTTACAAAAATGCTTATTTTTGGCCCCTAATTCCTTAACTGTTGGTACCATAACCCCCAAAATCAATCCCAACCTTCCTTTTGTGGTATTGAACCTTATGGTAAAATTTCATAGAGATCCATTCAGTTAAACTAAAGTTATTGTGCGAAAACCAATGTGTCTTCGGACGACGACAACGCCGACAACGCCAACGTCATACCAATATACTTTTGCAGTCGTATAAAAATGAGTTAATTCCCTTTGAACAGAAATCTAGTAATTAATAAGTATTTCATCAAAAATTTAATTCTAGGGAAAGGGCTGTAACTGAATAAGGAGAAAAGCTAAAATCGTGAAAATAGAACTTGACATGATAAAACAATACATCAAATATCAAATCAAAATCTTTAAGAAGATAAAAAGTCTGGAAAACTGATTTGCCGGACTGTCGGATGGACAGACGGACTGATGGATGGACAGACGGACAGAACGGACAGATTGCAAACCTAAAGTCCCCTTCAACTTCGTCGGTAGGGGACTAACAACCAGTGATGACTAAGTTCTCTAAAATTAAATATGATTTAACACTCAAACATTGTTAAAATCAGCATATGAAAGAACCCAAGAATTCAATTTTTGATTAAACAAAAGTTTAATTTAGGACACTTTGTACCTTGATGTGTGGTATTATCTAACTAATAATGAAAATAAATACAGGTTTAGATTCAGCATTTCAAAGAACCCTATATATATTCAATTTATGTTGAAATCAAACACAGTTTAATTTTGGACCCTGATTTGGACCAACTTGAAAACTTGGCCCAAAATCAGAAATCTAAATATATGTTTATTAATAGACAATATAAGCTAAGTTTTGAAAGGAGTTCACCTAATCAAAATAAAATGCTCCGCTGGGGCGCAGCTTGATACGAGCACAGAGGTCGAACCCTGAACAGTTGGGGCAAGTATGGACAAAACATTCAAGCTTGATACAGCACTGAATTTGGATTGTAATTAAATATTTGACACAGCATAGGTTTCTGACACAGAATGAATGTGGTCTAAGAACTTAAAAATTTTTAATTTACCTATTCAAACCATATCATTATTATTTGCTTTTATATATAAATCAGAAATAACCAATTTAAAATGGAAAATTTTAAAGAAGAAAAAGGAAAAAAAAATCCCCCCCCCAAAACTTTTTTGAACCCCCTTATGATTCATCACCCCCAAACTCAATCCCAGCCTTCCCTTTGTGGTATGGTACCTTGCAGTACAATTTCAGAGAGATCCATACACTTGAACACAAGTTATTGTCTGGAAACTAGAAAAATGCTTGTTTTTTGGCCCCTTTTTGGCCCCAAATACCTAAACATTTAGGGCAATTACCCCCAAACTCAAACCCAGCTTTCCCTTTGTGATATGGAACCTTGTAGTACAATTTCATAAAGATCAATACACTTACACACAAGTAATTGTCCTGAAACTAGAAAAATGCTTGTTTTTTTGCCCCTTTTTTGCCCCTAATTCCTAAAATTTTGAGACAATTACCCCCATAATCAATACCAGCCTTCCCTTTGTGGTATGGTACCTTGCAGTACAATTTCAGAGAGATCCATACACTTGAACACAAGTTATTGTCTGGAAACTAGAAAAATGCTTATTTTTGGCCCCTTTTTGGCCCTTAATCCTAAACGTTTTGGGCAATTACCCCCAAACTCAATTCCAGCTTTCCCTTTGTGATATGGAACCTTGTGGTACAATGTCAGAGAGATCCATATGCTTACACACAATTTATTGTCATGAAACTAGAAAAATGCTTGTTTTTTTCCCCTTTTTGGCCACTATTTCCTAAAATTTGGAGGCAATTACCCCCAATTAAATCAATCCCAGCATTCCCTTTGTGATATGGAACTTTGTGGTACACTGTCAGAGAGATCCATACACTAACACACAAGTTATGTCTGGAAGTTACAAAAATGCTTATTTTTGGCCCCTTTTTGGCCCCCAATTCCTTAACTGTTGGTACCATAACCCCCAAAATCAATCCCCACCTTCCTTTTGTGGTATTGAACCTTATGGTAAAAATTTCATAGAGATCCATTCACTTAAACTAAAGTTAAGAGTGCGAAAACCAATGTGTCTTCGGACAACAACGACGGACAACGACAAAGACGACGCCAACTTCATACCAATATACGACCGCAAAATTTTGCGGTCGTATAAAAATATATATAGCATTCAGAAAATTAGTTTTTACAGAAAAACAAACAATTTACAATTAACCAAAGAAAAGAAGAAAAAAATTAAAACTTTTATTTATCATTAATACAATGTCTTTTAAAAATCTATAAAACTTATCTGTAATTATCTTCAAAATGTCTAATAATGAACAGTAAATTTCTAACTATATTTACTACTATATAGCTTTTAATCATCAACACTTAGAAAACAGAAAATTTTCAAATAAATCTGTCACTCAAGCTAAGATAAGACATTAACCATTAACCATATGTTTAGTAAACTGATAACAGGACATATAAACAGGTGAAAATTATCTATAAAGGCTTAGTGTAATCAAACTTTATGTATATAATTAACAATTTCTGTTCAAAGGAAAATAACTCAACCACAAAAAAATACCACTTATGGCAGATTCCAAATAAGAAAGTTGAAAAATTCCCAAAATTATATTTAACAAAATCAACACCAATAAGGTTCTGTTTTGGAATACATGTTATACTTATATAAGTAAACACTTTTTGACAAAAAATAGATCTATTCACATTATATTTTTTAAATAAAGGACACCTTAAAAAAATGTTGCTATCATAACAAAATTGACAGACATTTTGACGGAAAATTCTTATGTTAGCAACACAAGCAATCCTGATATCTTCAGTATTTTCAAGGTTTGGATGTATATCTTGCTTAAGTATGAAAGGCAAATTGGAATAAAATATTTCTTAACATCTGCACCAATAAAAAAGGAGTTGTAATAACTTTAAAAAATAAAATGCTCCGCAGGGCGCAGCTTGATACGACCGCAGAGGTCGAACCCTGAACAGTTGGGGCAAGTATGGACACAACATTCAATCTTGATACAGCTCTGAATTTGGATTGTGATTAAATATTTGACACAGCATAGGTTTCTGACACAGAATGAATGTGGTCTAAGAACTTAAAAATTTTAAATTGGACATTCACCTATTATGGTCCAATAACCAAAATCTAAATACATGGTTAGATTCAGCATATCAAAGAACCCCAAGAATTCAATTTTTGATGAAATCAAACAAAGTTTAATTTTGGACCCTTTTGACCTCAATGTGGACAAAGTTGATAACGGGGCCCAAAAATCAAAAATCTAAATACATGGTTAGATTCAGCATATCAAAGAACCCCATATATTCAATTTTTGTTGAAATCAAACAAAGTTTAATTTTGGACCCCGATTTGGACCAACTTGAAAACTGGGCCCATAATCAAAAATCTAAATACATGTTTAGATTCAGCATATCAAAGAACCCTAAGAATTCAATTTTTGTTAAAATCAAACTAAGTTTAATTTTGGACCTTAATGTAGACCAATTTGAAAACGGAACCAAAAAATAAGAATCTAAATACACGGTTAGATTCGACATATCAAAGAACCCCAATAATTCAATTTTTGATGAAATCAAACAAAGTTTAATTTTGGACCCTTTGGACCTCAATGTGGACCAATTTAAAAACGGGGCCCAAAATCCAAAAACTTAATACACAGTTAAAATCAGCATATTAAAGAACCCCAAGAATCCAAGAATAAAACCCCATTGAAATTGGTCAAGAAATAAGCAATTTATATGAAGTATCTTCTTTTGCACAATACTGTGCAATTGAATATTTCTTGCTATTGCGCAATACTGTACAATTGACAAATTCTTGCTATTGCGCAATATTGTGCTATTGGATATTTCTTGCTATTGCACAATATTGCACAATACTGTGCCATTGAAGATTTCTTGCTATTGCGCAATACTGTGCCATTGAAGATTTCTTGCTATTGCGCAATACTGTGCAATTGAAAATTTCTTGCTATTGCACAATACTTATTATATAATAATTTACACATCCTGTTTGGTGTGTATCTCCTACCATATCATTATTATTTGCTTTTAAATATAAAACAGAAATAACAAACTTAAAATGGAAAATTTTAAAAGAAAAAAAAAAGGAAAAAAAGAAAAAAAAGGGAAAAAAAATCCCCACCCCCAAATTTTTTGAACCCCCTTATGATTCATCACCCCCAAACTCAATTCCAGCTTTCCCTTTGTGATATGGAACCTTGTAGTACAATTTCAGAAAGATCCATACACTTACACACAAGTTATTATCATGAAACTAGAAAAATGCTTGTTTTTTGCCCCTTTTTTGGCCCCTAATTCCTAATATTTTGAGGCAATTACCCCCAAAATCAATCCCAGCATTCCCTGTGTGATATGGAACCTTGTGGTACAATTTCAGAGAGATCCATACACTTGAACACAAGTTATTGTCTGGAAACTAGAAAAATGCTTATTTTTGGCCCCTTTTTGGCCCCTTATTCCTAAGCGTTTTGGGCAATTACCCCCAAACTCAAACCCAGCTTTCCCTTTGTGATATGGAACCTTGCAGTACAATTTCATTAAGATCCATACACTTACACACAAGTTATTGTCCTGAAACTAGAAAAATGCTTGTTTTTTTGCCCTTTTATGGCCCCTAATTCCTAAAATTTTGAGGGAATTACCCCCAAAATCAATCCCAGCCTTCCCTTTGTGGTATGGTACCTTGCAGTACAATTTCAGAGAGATCTATAAACTTGAACACAAGTTATTGTCTGGAAACTAGAAAAATGCTTATTTTTTGCCCCTTTTTGGCCCCTTATTCCTAAACGTTTTGGGCAATTACCCCCAAAATCAATCCCAGCATTCCCTTTGTGATATGGAACCTTGTGATACAATGTCAGAGAGATCCATACACACAAGTTATTGTCATGAAACTACAAAAATGCTTGTTTTTTGCCCCCCTTTTTGGCCCCTAATTCCTAAAATTTGGAGGCAATTACACACAAGTTATGTCTGGAAGTTACAAAAATGCTTATTAAGGCCCCTAATTCCTTAACTGTTGGTACCATAACCCCCAAAATCAATCCCCACCTTCCTTTTGTGGTATTGAACCTTATGGTAAAATTTCATTGAGATCCATTCACTTAAACTAAAGTTAGAGTGCGAAAACTAATGTGTCTTCGGACGACGTCATACCATTATACGACCACAAAATTTTTTTTGCGGCTGTATAAAAATCATAACAGATACCCAAATAATGATTGAGGCCAAATTTGGTTTAATATTGGTCCCCGTTATTTAATAATATTTCCTGGTGGCCATCTTAAACAGTAAATTGGCAACAAAGAAGCCTATAGGGTCCTATGTTAAACTAAGTCACCCCTGGTGGCAATCTTGGATGATGGATCGGCTGCAATGTAACAACACTTGGTCAGCACCTCATAAGGAACATTCATGCCATGTTTGGTTTCATTCCAATCAGTGGTTCTCTAAAAGAAGACATTTGTATGTATTTCCCATAGGGTCCTATGTTAAACTAAGTCCCCCCTGGCGGCCATCTTGGATGATGGATCGGCTGCAATGTAACAACACTTGGTCAGCACTTCATAAGGAACATTCATGCCATGTTTGGTTTCATTCCATTCAGTGGTTCTCTAAAAGAAGACATTTGTATGTATTTCCCGTAGGGTCCTATGTTAAACTAAGTCCCCCGCTGGCGGCCATCTTGTATGATGGACCAACTGCAAAGTAACAACACTTGGTCAGCACCTCATAAGGAACACTCATGCCATGTTTGGTTCCATTCCATTCAGTGGTTCTCTAAAAGAAGACATTTGTATGTATTTCCCGTAGGGTCCTATGTTAAACTAAGTCCCCTGCTGGCGGCCATCTTGGATGATGGATTGGCTACAAAGTAACAACACTTGGTCAGCACCTCATAAGGAACATTCATGCCATGTTTGGTTTTATTCCATTTAGTGGTTCTCTAGAAGAAGTTCAAAATGTAAAAAGTTAACAACGATGACGGACGACGACAATGACGCAGGACGCCAAGTGATGAGAAAAGCTCACTTGGTCCTTTGGGCCAGGTGAGCTAAAAAGATAAAAAAGGAAAAAAAAATCCCCCCCAAATTTTTTGAACCCCCTTATGATTCATCACCCCCAAACTCAATCACAGCCTTCCCTTTGTGGTATGGTACCCTGTGGTACAATTTCAGAGCGATCCATACACTTGAACACAAGTTATTGTCTGGAAACTGTAAAAATGCTTGTTTTTTGGCCCATTTTTGGCCCCTTATTCCTAAACGTTTAGGGCAATTACCCACAAACTCAAACCAAGCTTTCCCTTTGTGATATGGAACCTTGTAGTACAATTTCATAAAGATTCATACACTTACACACAAGTTATTGTCCTGAAACTAGAAAAAGGGTTGTTTTTTGCCCCTTTTTGGCCCCTAATCCCTAATATTTTGAGGCAATTACCCCCAAAATCAATCCCAGCCTTCCCTTTGTGGTATGGTACCTTGCAGTACAATTTCAGAGAGGTTCCATACACTTGAACACAAGCTTTTGTCATGAAACTAGAAAAATGCTTGTTTTTGCCCCTTTTTTGGCCCCTAATTCCTAAACGTTTTGAGGCAATTACCCCCAAAATCAATCCCAGCATTCCCTTTGTGATATGGAACCTTGTGGTACAATGTCAGAGAGATCCATACACTAACACACAAGTTACAAAAATGCTTATTTTTGGCCCCTAATTCCTTAACTGTTGGTACCATAACCCCCAAAATCAATCCCAACCTTCCTTTTGTGGTATTGAACCTTATGGTAAAATTTCGTAGAGTTCCATTAACTTAAACTAAAGTTATTGTGCGAAAACCAATGTGTCTTCGGATGACGACAACGCCAACGTCATACCAATATACTTTTGCAGTCGTATAAAAATGAGTTAATTCCCTTTGAACAGAAATCTAGTAATTAATAAGTATTTCATCAAAAATTTAATTCTAGGGAAAGGGCTTTAACTGAATAAGGAGAAAAGCTAAAATCGTGAAAATAGAACTTGACATGATAAAACAATACATCAAATATCAAATCAAAATCTTTAAGAAGATACATTTTTTTTGTAAAAAGTCAGGAAAACTGATTTGCCGGACTGTCGGATGGACAGACGGACTGATGGATGGACAGACGGACAGACGGACAGAGTGCAAACCTAAAGTCCCCTTCAACTTCGTCGGTAGGGGACTAACAACCAGTGATGACTAAGTTCTCTAAAATTAAATATGATTTAACACTCAAACATTGTTAAAATCAGCATATCAAAGAACCCAAGAATTCAATTTTTGATTAAACAAAAGTTTAATTTAGGACACTTTGTACCTTGATGTGTGGTATTATCTAACTAATAATGAAAATAAATACAGGTTTAGATTCGCATTTCAAAGAACCCTATATATATTCAATTTATGTTGAAATCAAACACAGTTTAATTTTGGACCCTGATTTGGACCAACTTGAAAACTTGGCCCAAAATCAGAAATCTAAATATATGTTTATTAATAGACAATATAAGCTAAGTTTTGAAAGGAGTTCACCTAATCAAAATAAAATGCTCCGCTGGGGCGCAGCTTGATACGAGCACAGAGGTCGAACCCTGAACAGTTGGGGCAAGTATGGACAAAACATTCAAGCTTGATACAGCACTGAATTTGGATTGTAATTAAATATTTGACACAGCATAGGTTTCTGACACAGAATGAATGTGGTCTAAGAACTTAAAAATTTTTAATTTACCTATTCAAACCATATCATTATTATTTGCTTTTATATATAAATCAGAAATAACCAATTTAAAATGGAAAATTTTAAAGAAGAAAAAGGAAAAAAAAATCCCCCCCCCAAAACTTTTTTGAACCCCCTTATGATTCATCACCCCCAAACTCAATCCCAGCCTTCCCTT